ACCCCCTCGCCCCGTCCCCCCCCTCCCGCCAGCCTCGGGCACCTGCAGCAGTGTGTGCACACCCACAGTAACACCTCTGGGCGTCCCCTCCCAGTGCTCAGCCCAGCGTCCCCCCGACACCCCCAGCAGGTCCCAGGGGTGGCCCCTCCATCCTCACCCTGGGGTGCTCCCGTGGCACGTGCCCTCTCCAGGTGTGAGCTGCAGGAACCAGGAGGAGAAGCTGCTCCAGGACCTTATGACCAACTACAACCGGCACCTGCGTCCAGCCCTGAGCGGGGACCAGGTCATCGATGTCACCCTCAAGCTCACCCTCACCAATCTCATCTCCCTGGTGAGAGACGCCCCCACGGCCCCAGTCTCCATTGCAGGACAGGATTTGCCCCTGCCCATGAGGCCTTGGACAGAAGCAGGCAGGGTGCTATACCTGTCACCCCCCCTTCTCTCCTTACCAGAACGAGCGGGAGGAGACCCTCACCACCAACGTCTGGATCGAGATGGTGAGACCCCTCCCCTCCAGGCAAGACCCCACCCTGAGCCCTGTTTGCATCTCAGGGTGGCATCCCATGGAGGGCTGGCACCGTAACCTGCACTCCCTTCTGTGGGTGTTCCCCAATTAACCCATTTTGGGGGCAGCATGGGACAGGCAGCTCACAAGCTTCTCTGCCTTGGGGAGCACTGTGACCCTCCACTCCTCTTCCCCCAGCAATGGTCCGACTATCGCCTGCGGTGGGACCCTGAGAAATATGACGACATCCAGACACTGCGGGTGCCCTCCACCATGGTATGGCTGCCCGACGTCGTCCTGGAGAACAAGTAGGTGTCAGGGAAATGGGGACGTCTCCCTGTACAGGGGGTGGCAGCTGCCCCTCCAGGCAGAGTTTGAGGCTACGACCACCCTTTCCCCCTCAGCATCGATGGGACATTTGAAATCACTCTCTACACCAACGTGGTAGTGTACGCCGACGGCAGCATCTACTGGCTGCCCCCCAAAAACCCCGGCCTTCTACCGCAGCGTCTGCGTCATCCACGTCACCTACTTCCCCTTCGACTGGCAGAACTGCACCATGGTCTTCCAGTGAGCACACAGGGGCACCACGGCGAGTCCTCCTGGGACAAGAGGGACTGGCATGGGGTGTCCACCTTCAGCCCTGGAGCAATGAGCCCCGGGGCAGACAAGTGTCCCAGAGCTGGAGGTGGCCAGCACAGCCTGGCGTCACACTGGCACCCTTTGCCCATCCAGCCCGCCGCATGCCAGCCTGTGCCACCCCCTTCTCCCTCCCTAGGTCCCAGACGTACAGCGCCAATGAAATCAACCTGCTGCTGACGGTGGAGGAAGGGCAGACCGTGGAGTGGATCTTCATCGACCCCGAGGCTTTCACAGGTGAGGCCGTGGCTGGTTCGGGGGCAC